TGGCCAGCTCGCGAAAAGGGGGCGTGTGGGGAGACCGGGCCGGCTCTAGGATCCGGAGGACGCCGGCGTCTTCCCTTGGCCAGCGAGGGGATTCACCTGTTTTGGAAGAGGCTCGGACAGAGAGAGAGAGGTGGAAAGCCCGGGGAAGAGCTGGCTGGCTTTCTTCTGCACTTTGCAAAGGAACTTCTCGCCTCTCCCCGGAGGGTCTCCCAGTCCTGCGCCTCCGCCTTTAGCTTCGCGCAGAAGTTGTGAGCGCGCCGGTAAGTAGGGGCGCTTACTTTATGGTCGGAGGAGAAGGTTCCTCAGCTGCTGGGCTGTGACTCCCACACGGTGGGTCTGCCTTTCTCGAACACAGCAAAGTGCGGAGTGTTTCCTAGAGCTGACTGTACAATAGCTGAGGCCAGGGAGGTGGGGAAAGGTCTCTGCCCCAGAGAGTTTGCAAACCAAATGTGGGTGGCCTCCAAAAAGAGATGCCTCCAGAAAGACAAGGGATGGCGCAAGTAAGCCAGCCAAGCTACCCAGAAAAAGACGTCTTGGACGGGCACTTCGGCTTTCTCCTTCAGGGGCCTCTGTGTGCATAGAGAGGGGCGGGGGGGGGCAAGATGTAGAACTCTTTCTCCTTCAGGTGCCTCCAAGGATATGGCAACAGCTGGACCTCTGGACGTCTTCCGTAACTGGGATGCTACGATCATTACTGGCCCACTAAAATATCACAGACAGGCAAGGTTTCAAGGGCGGCAGGTCTCTTCATCACGATGGACAGTGTGGAGCTTAAAGGATGGGGCAGAGGGTCTTCGCGCCCCCCCCCCCCGCCGCCGCCGCCGCCGCCTCGCCCGGGCCCTCGTTTCCCGGGCCCCCGCAGTAGCCTTGGGCATTCATAGAAGCAAAGTTCTGGGATAGGCAGTATCTTCTGAATCAAGTCCAAAGGGGTGGTGCCTGAAGTGTTGTGTCTGGAAATAACACTGCTTTTCACCCGCTGACTCCCGAGGGGTCGCCGCGCCCCAGTGCGTGTGCCTGAGGCGGACACCCTGCCTCTCCTCCGCCTCGACCTGCCGCCTTAAGTCAAAAGCCGACGTGGGCCACCTTAGCGTGAAGTCTCCGGCGGCCCCTTAAAAACGTGGCCTCCCCTCTCCGGGAGAGAGCAGGTGGCTTCGCCAAGGCCAGCCTCCCCCTCCCTCCCTCGGCCGCTCTCCGGGCGCTGTGCGGAGGGGCTTCTCCCCCACCTCCCCCGGGACCACCCCGAGAGTGTCAGCCTGACCCTGGCGGCTCGGCAAGGAGTTCAGGGTGGGGTCGTGCGCCTCTCTTCTGAACTTCCTTAGTTGGTGTGGTTTCGAGGCTGGTTACCGAGGCCCTCCCGGAGGGGCCTTTCCTTCGGGGACCCTCCGCAGGTGCTTCGCCGCCTTTACTTCCAGCTTTTCGCTGCTCTTCAGAGAAGTGCACTAGAACTGAAATGGTGTGCGCCTCCTTTTAGAAATCAGCTAAACACCTATCCGAATTGTGGGATCTGGCAATTAAAGGCAGCTGCTCCTTCCTCGCCTTGGGTCAGAGGAGTCCAAACAGACAACCCTCTCTCTCTCTCCCTTCCTTCCTTCCTGCTGACTCAACCGCGTCTGTTCCCCGGCACCAACTCTTCACACATTGGCTGCCTTTTTAAAGCCATAAGCAGAAGCAAAACTCAGCTGTGCTGCTGTATGTCTTCCAAGGGGAGGGGGAGACACGGGGGGGGGACACCTTGGAGGGGGCTGCTCTTTCCGACAGACTGTTCCGTGGATTCGAGGGGGCCACCATCCCGAAAGGAGCCAAGCTCAGTCCAGCAGTTCATAATACATCATGTGCCCTCAAGTTGACTATGCCAACCTTTGCTGAGATTTCCTTGGTACATCGTATTCAGGAGGAGTTTCTCCTTTTGAAGCTCCCCCTGGGGCGGGGGGGGTTGCCACTTGCCCAGGGCCCCACCCAGGCTGGCTCTCTTTCAAGGCACGGTAGGAAACCAAACTCTCAACCTCTGGCCCCACAGCCGGGTTCTCCAACCCCTATCGCTCAAATGCTTCATCATCATCAGGCTACTGCTGCAAGCAGGCCGTCCTTGGTATTCTTTTCCCGAACCCCAGCTGGCAGCAGCTTGCATGCCTCCGCCAGTGTTGGTTGTGTTCTGCCCATTGCTGTGACTTAATTTGTGTGCTTAGCGGGGCAGGGAACTAGGCCTTTGGTTTGTGAACCTCTTAGGGGAGAACCAAGCCAAGGGAGCTGGTTGTCCACTAATCGCAAGTGCTCTGCAGTAAAACACACTCTTTAGACCTTTTCGAATGTGTATTCATGTCGAAGTGGACCGATGTATTCAGGCGAAGGGCTTCTGCTTCCTCTCTCGTCCTCCTGGAGGTTTATTCCATCCTGGGGGGGGGGGTTGTGTGTGTGTGTGTCTGTGTCTAACGGCAGACTATGCCCACTTCAGGTGGCCAAGGAGAAACAGAGGAGAAGTCCTGTGTGAGCGATGGGGTGCGCCTTATCCAGCCCAGCCACTGTGCCAGATCCAGCTACCTTGGAAGAGAAGCTGTGCCCAGCACCAGAAGGCGGGCTGGATTCGATTGGAGAAAGGGAGCGTGGAGGCGAGGGGCAAACGCTCGGACCATTCCTCCTCTCAGAGGCTCAGAAGGGGCTGGTCCGGGACTCCTGGAAAATCCTGCACCAAGATATTGCCAGGGTTGGAATTATCGTCTTTATCCGGTAAGGGCTATGCGGCTATTGTCCCCCCCCCTCGCCCCTGCCCACGCCTCCCCCCTTTTTGCAGAGAGGAGTCTGAGCTGGGGGTCAGGGCTCTTCTGTGTCCAGCTGTGGGGTGATGCCCCCAGACTGTTTGCGAGGGGGTTTGCTATGCCGGCAGATGCTTCTGTTCCCAGGCACAGCTGGAGCCACAGGTTTCAATAGAGGGAAATACAGTGTATTGGATTCAGCGAATGACTAGCCTCCCTTGGAAGGAGGGGGGAGGGAGGAAGGGAGAGGGGGATCTTGTCCCACACAAGAAAGCTGATACAAGCCACATAACTCAGGCCAGCCTGCCGTGTCCATGCGGAACCTGAGTCTCATGACGGATCCTGAAACTTCATGGTCTAGCTAGCACAGTTTTAGGATGTCTCTGCCTTACCCCCTGCCCCATCCTTCCAAGGGAGGTGAGAGAGAGAGAGAGAGAGAGAGAGAGAGAGAATGGAGCTGGAACTGGGCTGGGGGGGGTGTTCCCCCTGCCCCCCCCAGCCATCATTTCTTCCAGCTGTTTTCTCTGCTCTGGATCAAAGGCCTCTCCCCGCCCCCTGCCAGGGCCCAAATGAGACCTTAGGGCAGTCCTGGCACCTCCACAATTAACCTGCATTTAAATTAACTCCACACAAACAAACAAATAATCAAACAAACAAACAGAAAGCAGAAAGGTAGGGCAGGGGAAATGCTTATTATTTGGATCTCAGGAAGTAGGAGGGCCAGAGCAGGGATTTAATCCTTCTCCTCCCTCCCTGTGTTGTCCCTTTGAAGCTGCTGTTTGTCTTGAAAGGAAGCCCAACCAGCAGGACTTGGAAGGGTTGCTTTGTTTAAACTACAGTTCCCAGAGTTCCCCAAGTTAGCATCGCCAGGGGTGATTCCCCCCCCCAAGGTCCCCCAACTGTTGGCTTCTCCTTGAGCGTAGAGGCACGGAACCTGTGGCTTGGCCTTCCAGGAGGGGGCTCAGGAGAGAATTTGGCCATGAAAAGCTTTCTTTTTTCTTTTTCTTTTTTTAAGATGTTCCACCGAAGACAGTTTTGCAACTTAAATGTTACAATCTAATCAGACTAAAAGAGGCCTTGCAGTTGGGTCCTGGGATTTCAGACACCTGGAATCCTAAAGTAAAACACCACCACACCCCACAAGATGGCAAAGGTGTCCCTCCATTCCTCCCCAACCCTAAATGTATTTGTTATTTTTAATAAGGTGTTTTCTGGGGTGTAGCAGAGCATGCCCTGTGTGTTTGACTCAAGCTAGCATTCTACAATGTGGCTTCGCGTGTCCCCCCCCCCACCTCACCTGGAGTGATTCCTGGAGAGCCCCTGATCTTTGCCCATCTCTCCTTGCAGATGTGGCAGTGGCTGGAAGGATGGCTGGTGTTCCAGCTGTGGTTGCACCAGAGTCCTGCTGAAAGACATTATGACATACAGTACATATTTTGATTGCTTTTCTCATTATGCCCAGTAGGAAAAGGGCCTTTCCTGGGGGCCCTTTGCCTTGCACGTTCCACCACATGCCTCACTTCTCTCCCTGTGCTCATTTGCCCCCAGCTCAGTGCTCAGCATATATCCCTCCCCCCCCACCCCCACCCTGCATGGAGAAACAGACCCCATTTACGCAGTGAATGGTGCCTCTTCCCAGGCTGAGGTCTCTTTCTGCTGCATGGGAATTCAGCCAAGATGCTGACTTGGAGAGCAACGAAAATAAACACACGCACACCCTGGGCACTTTGCATATTTTCTTTGTAAATTATTGAATTGAGCTGATAGGAGGTTGACTCCCTTCTCCTGCATCTCCACACCCTTCCAGCTCCCTAGTTGGAAATATGTTGGTGATAACAAGACCTCCTCCAGTGTGTGAGAGAAATACCTCCAGGGCCAAATTCATGCCATGGTTTAAAAAGGTGGGGGATGCTGCTGTTCGTGTTCAGAGATACCCGTGCACAGCAGCAGGTCAAGAGGGTGACTCCTGGCCATGGCGGG